ATCGGATTTGTCCAAATTGTTTATTTTGGTGTATAGTTCGGGCCAGGATGTTATAGATCGAAAAGATTGGTCAGAATGTTTATTTTGGTCAAAGTTCATGCCATACGAAAATATTAACCCTTAAATCTTTGACATTATCTTTCAAAATCTGCCATCTCTCATTTGAATTTGCAAATATTGTATAAATTCGTTGAATGATTCCGAAAAAGTCTCTAGCTTTAACACAACAATTGGCCATGTCACATAAAGTCAAATTAAGACTATGAGAAGCACATGATATATGAAATGTTCTAGGATTTATATCTAATAGCCTTCTTTGCACACCACTATGTTCTCCGTTAATGTTTGACCCATTATCATAAGATTGTCCTCTAATGTTATCAATATCAAGATCAAGAGAATTCAATTCATCTTTTAAAACATCAAATAATCCTAAACCAGTAGTATCATTCACATGCAAAAATCCCAAAAAAGACTCCTCAATAAGGACAGAACTCGAAGAGACATCTATGTACCTTAATATCATAGACATTTGTTCTTGATGACTTATATCAGGGGTACAATCAAGAATCACAAAAAAATACTTTGCTTCTTTTATTTTTCTAATAATTTCGGATTTAATTGTAGAAGCAAGCAAAAGTATAATTTTATTTTGAATTCTATGTCCAAAATAATGAAAGTGAAGATCATCATTTCTAATACGATGAACATGTTCTTGAATAACAGGATCAAACTCAGCCAACATTTCAATCAAGCCTAAAAAATTTCATTGCTACTTTGATACAATTTTTCATTACTACCACGAAATGCAAGACTATGTTTAGCAAGAAACTTTACAATTGAAATAATTCTCAATAAGACTTTTCTCCAATGATCTTTTTCTTTCTCGATTTCTTTTTGAGCTACAATATCTATGGTTTGATTCATTTGGAGTCTCAAACGTAAATCATACCAAGTAGTCATATGTCTTATATGTTCTAAACTTATTTCATGCTCTTTAAGTCTACTACTCATGTGCGACCAATCACAAAAACCTTCATTTGACAATTGACCTTTTACACCTTGTTTTTTAAAAATCTTACAACAAAAACAAAATAACTTATCAAGCTCTTTCGAATACACAAGCCAATCTCTATCACGTTTTTCACCATTTGGTAAAACTCTAGTATAACAACTTGCTAAAAATCTCTTTGAAAATTTATGTTTAGGGCCTTTTCGATAGATAAATCTCTTTTTGGACCCTTTGTAGCTAGAATATCAATCATTTTCGAATCAAGAGAATTCCAAATTCTAGGATCAAATATATCTATCATTTGAGCATCAGAATCATGAACATGCACAACATTAGCAACATCAACATTAGCATTAATAGGAGCAACATCAGCATCAAAATTTTCCAAATAATCATTGTTGGCACCAAAATAATCACCACTTGCAACATTAGCATTAGAATCTCTCATAACAAATTTATCGATTGCTCCTCTTTGAGATTGGATTAATGCTTCACGTTTTTGTTTCTTTTTACGCTTAGAGCTTCCTGATTCAAATTTCCTAGACGATATAATTAGTAGAAAATGAAATTATGATAGTGAACTTCACAATTATGACAAACACTTGAGGAAGAAGGTGAACGATTGATGATCAATGATTGTTGAGTCGTTCTCCACAAAATGATGGTGATTGTTGATAGCTGAAGCAAGCACATAAAAAAAAATTGATTATTGAGAGAGTGAAACAAATAAAAGAATCCAAACAATAACAAAATTGAAAATTAGTATAAATACTAGACTCACCTAAATAGGTTACGGGAGCTCGATTGAGTAAATATGAGAATAGTTTTAGAAAAGTAAAGAGGAGAATCAAAGAACAATGAGAAAGATTGAAAGATGAGTGGAAGTAGATTAGTTGAATGGTATACTAAATATTTGTACCAATACTATTTTTACCCGTTGTCTTGCAACGACATTATAATAACGGGAAAGTCAGTTTAATTCCCTTGCGGTTGCTAATTTTACTTTTGTTACCGTTGCCACTTGGTAGGGTGAAGACGTGGGAATGAGAGTAATTGAGGTGATGAAATAACACAAATTTCAGTCAACAGATAAAAGTGAAAAGTGCTGCCAGAGGCCCACTTGTTATCACACCAATCAATCCCTTCTCCATGGTCCTGCTTTATTATGAGTGGCTCAAAAGAAAGAAGCCCTAAAACTATCAGTCATATATAATTAAGAGATTTTTATCGTGGCCCATGACATTATAAATGGCCCAGAATTTAGTCAATCAATTTAAGCCTACTACTTAGTATCATATTAAATGGAGGCCTCCAATTTTATGAGGCCCTGTGCGGGCGGGCCTGCCCGCACAGGCCCGTGGCCGCCCCTGGAAAGAAAGATAAAGAGGAATGTTTTCCTTTGTCAAGAAAGGGTTTATCATTTTTTGGGATGACTAACAAGATTCTTGGAGATGCGTTATGATTTCCAGGTGTACTGTTAAATCATTTTCAAATCTTATCTGAAAATTCAACGGACCATAACTCATTGGTTTTACGTCAGATTTTAAAATATTTTACATACAAATATCATATTTTTTGTGTTGTATAAGATGTTATCCATTCTGATATTTTTTGAACAAAAACATTTCAAGTCCTCATATCACGATATTACCACTAACGGTGACATGATATCATAGTTGTATGGTGTTGATATGATAGTGATATCATATTAGTATGAGGTCTTATGTTAGACAAAATAATTGAAGACATCTTATCACTGTCATATAATAATATTATCACTATGGTATATTGAATATATGACAATATACTATTGATATGATGTTGTATGAGGTTTTGTGTTTAAGAATATAATTTTATGATGTCATATAACTATCATTAATGGTGGACCCAGGATTTCTGGATAAGTGTATAGGTCAATAAAAATAAATTAAAATTAAATATTAATGAACTAACTAACATAATCTTGTTATCAAGGGAAGTGAAGTGCGAATGGAGGGATTAGTGTTTGGTTTGAGTGGCCACTCAATTACATTTCACCCTCTCACGCTATCTTTCTCTCTCATATGATGTGATATGATATTTGATATAACTTATTAATGTATAAAAAATTTAAATGTATGAAAATGTAAATTTTTTTCATCTAGGTTAAACCAGCATAAAGCGGTTGGACTATCGACACTCAATCCACGTGATCAATCGGGTTTAAAATGGGTTAAATTCTCTTATTAAAATAATGGGTTATATTCTCTTATTAAAATCCTAATAAATTAGAAGTCGGTCCCGGAGTAAAAAAAATAGCTAGATTTCACATATATATATATATATATATATATATATCGGATAGTTATCATAAATGGTCACAAACCTATTCACTTTGTAAAAAACGGTCACAATCCTTTAATTTTGCACGTTTCAGTAATAAAAATTTGAGTAAATAATAAAAAGATCAATCTGTCCACTTCCGTCCAAAAATCCGTTACATTTGCACAATCAACATGACACATCATTAAAAATATTAATAAAAAAATAATTGAATAATTCAAATTAACCACAAACCCTAACCGGTTTAATCACACAGTTATGTCTTCCACGCGCGCTTCAGCTTTCCCCTTGTGGTCTTCCACCAACTCGATTCCACCTTTCTTCTCATGAGTCCTCTACCTTCTCTACCTTTTCTTCCTCCTATCTGCTTCTCTCCCGCTGTCGTTACCGGAAAGGAAAAGCAAACCCATTCTTGTCCCATGATGACTAGAGGTGGCAATTGGATTATTGGATTGGTGGATCCATAAATCAAATAGATTGGACCAAATAGATTGGATCCAATAGATTGGTAGATTGGTGGATTATCCATGAATCCAAATGACATTCTCAACCAATGACCAATATGTAAAATGTGAAAAGTTTAGGTAGTAAAATGTCATAATGAAAATTTTAGGTACCAAAATGTAATATTCCAATGATATTTTTTTCTAAAAAAAATAAATTATAGTTGCCAAAATGTAAAACTAAAAATTATAGGTACTAAATCATAATTTGCCAATGATCCATGGATCCAATCCATGAATCCACCAATCCAATTGGATTTGGATAAAATGGATTGGATTTAAATGAATTGGATTAGTTGGATATTTTTAATGGATTGATGGATTGGATTAGTGGATTGGATTGAGAATTGCCACATCTAAATTGATGACAATTGACACCCAAACTACATCTCTTTCCATACTGAAAATTTTTGCAGACTCTGATCTCTCTGTCTCAAGTTCTGTGCTATGTCTTCCAGCTCTAATGAATGTGAGTCAGAATGAATGTGCAGCTGGGGTTTGGTTGGTATGGTTTTTTACCTTTTCAGGTCAGATCTCTGATCAATTAGGAACAAGGCAAGCACTTTCGCCAACAGAAATCCCCTCCTTCCTCCGACCGCCCTCGACGCCTTCTTCTCCACCACTCCGCCGCTGCTCCACCACAACAAGGAATGCGTCCTCGCCGCCGCCGAGGACACGAGCTCAACGAGGACGACATCTTCTCCACCGGCGATTTCTCTTTCGATTCCTCCCAAAACAAACAACAGAACACCACTAGGCCTTCCGCGATTCGTACTCGCGTTGTCGGAGAATAGCTCTCTCGCAAAAAAACAACTTTTTGTCTGTCTTTACTTTCTCCAATACGGGGTATTAGCTTACTGCTGGTGGGTACCGACCTAATGAATCAGTTAGGATTGTGTGGGTTAATTTGGATGATTAAAAAAAAATTTAAAATTTTTTTAATGATTATGATGACTGGGCAAAAGTAACGAATTTTTGGACGGAAGTGGACGGATTGACCTCTTTGTTATTCACTCAAACTTGTATTACTGAAACGTGCAAAATTAAAGGATTGTGAATAGGTTTGTGACCATTTATGATAACTACCCTTTATATATCCGCCATAGGCTAATAACACTTGCTCTTTCTTTCTGCCGCTAGTAATGCAATAGCTGCCGACGAGCATGACGATCTCCAGCAAGAAGTCGTCAGGAAGCGCTGTTGACGAGGACCGGATCTCACAGCTGTCGGAGGAAATAATCCACCTAATCCTTCATCTCCTCTACAACCCAAGGGAAGCGGCGAGAACGAGCATTTTGTCAAGAAGTTGGCTTCACCTCTGGCAAATCTACCCTGTCGTCCAATTTTGGTATTCGAAGAGGAATCCTATAGACAAGTTCCAAAGCTTCGCCAATGCCACTTCCATGAGGCTGCTGCGGATGAGGGAAGAAAGAGGCGCATCATCATCGCCTCTTGACACCTTCAGGATCCTATTCAAAACCCCGAGTGACGACAAAGAGAATCTAGTACTGGAGGAGTTGTTGTCTTTGGCGTCCTTGTTGCCAACCAACGACGACGACCGCAGATCCCCGCTTCAGATTTACCTTCACTGTAATCCTACTCCTACACGACTTAATTACTCTACTTATTATCGTGTGCCCGACGGCGCGTTGTTGAATTGCCGCCGCACCAAATCTCTCTCTCTCTCTCTCTTGGAGGTTGCGACATGACACACTATCACTACAACAACGTACGTCTGTACAGCCTTGAGGAACTCAGCCTCACCAGTTGCGGCTTCACCCAACAGATTTTGCAGAGCTGCCTGGCCAATGCGCCGAACCTCGAGACGTTGCAGTTGACATTGAACTTGATGATGTGGCATGTTGTTAGTAGTGGACCGTTGTGCTCCACTCTTCTCTCCAACAACTTAGCTTTCTGTTACTCTGTTTAGCTTTCTGTTCTTTATCTTAGGTTGCACGATCAGACTCATTGTATTATAAAACCATAGTTGAATAATAGAGAATGCAAGTTTTTTGTCTCTTCATGGTATCAGAGTCTTCTGTGACCGAGAAGTCTTGTATTCGATTCCCGGTGACCCCCATTTGTTAAGCACATGGTATGCGGACCTGTGCAAACTTCAAGCCCTTGTGAGTGGCTTTCGTTTGAGGGGACGTGTTAGTGTGTGGTATATGATCCACGATTGAACCTCTCACAACAACTCGAGTTATTGGGACCAACTGGTTTATGACATGGTATCAGAGTTGGTTTGGCCAAGTGGTTGTGTTCGAATCTCCACGACCCCCAATATTAACAGTTGTCTTCAAGCACATGGTATGGTTGGCCTGTGCAAAATTCAAGCCCTTGTGAGTGGCTTGATATTGCCTGCTAGGTCTTCAAGCACATGTTCCCCAAAAATATTGGCCTCTTGCCTTTGATACTGCCTGCTATCTTCTCAATCGCACACCTACTCTGCAAGCACATGTTCCCCAAAAATATTGGCCTCTTGCCTTTGATACTGCCTGCTATCTTCTCAATCGCACACCTACTCTTCTTTGCAATGATTCTCCTTTCCATTTCCCTTTTCATCGTAGCCCTAACATTTCTAGTCTTCGTATGTTCGGTCGTCTCTGTAATTCATAGCTTCGTCCCCTTGATTCAAACAAATTTGCTCCACGTTCCCTCTCATGTGTCTTTCTTGGCTATAGAAAACTTCACAAGAGTTACCGTTGTCTCCATATTCCGACTGGTTAGTCGCCATGTTTTATTTGATGAGACACGTTTCCCATTTATCGAGGTTCCCTCCTCTGACTCACCCTCTCCTATTATTCTACCCTCTTTGCCCACCTCCCTTATCTGACCATCCCTCCCCTCTCCCACGTCCACACGGCCCAATCCATCTCATTCTCCCTCACCTCTTCCTCCCACTCCCAGGCCCACACGACCCACTTCTCCTGTAACTCATCATAACCCCACTCCCTCTCCTATTGCCCCAACCTCATCCTCATCACTCACCATTCCCCCAACTACAGCCCAACCCTTATCCAATCCAGCCCACTAAATTCGGCCAACTCACTCTCCACTTTAGCCCTGAATCCTAATTCTTCCTCTCCTCGATCCCCAACTCCTCTGCCTCCCCGTCATCCCCTTCCTTCCCGACCCAGATTCATCACTTCACCTCGCCCACTCACCGTCACCAACCCGACAAGCTCCGCCCACCCCATGGTCACTCGCATAAAGACTGGGAATCTAAAACCAAAAACCTACCTCTCTCGTCTCCACATTGATGACACACCCACCACCGTCAAGCAAGCACTCAAACTCCCTCACTGGCGCTCGGTGATGTCAGACGAAGTCACTGCACAAATCGGAAATCACACCTGGGATTTGGTTCCCCCTGCCAACTGCAACATTCTTTCCAATAAATGGGTCTACCGCACCAAATTAAATCCCGATGGCTCCCTCGATCGGCGTCGAGCTCGCTTAGTCGCTCGTGGATTTGAGCAGATTCCAGGACTTGATTTTCATCAAACTTACAGTCCCTTGCTGAAGCCGACCACACTTCGCCTCATTCTTGGCCTCGCGGTGACTCAGGGGTGGCCTCTCCACCATATTGACATTGCTAATGCTTTTCTCCATGGTCATTTGCGGGAAACAGTCTATATGTAGCAGCCTCCGGGTTTCATCGACCCTAACAAACCCAATCACGTCTGGAGATTACGAAAATCCATTTACGGACTCCGCCAAGCACCGCGCACTTGGTTTCAATGTCTAGATGCTGCCCTCACTGGATTTGGCTTCATCACCTCTCGCACCGATCCATCTCTGTTCATCTACAAAACGGGTTGCACTCGTCTTTACATGTTGGTCTATGTTGACGACATCGTCATCACCGGCAATGACGATGGTATTATTCAGCGGCTATTTCACTTTCTTCGGGATAACTTCGCTCTCGGTGAAATGGGACCATTATATATCTTACTTTCTTGGCATTGAGGTCCATCGATCCTCCTCTGGCATCATCCTCAACCAGCGTAAGTTCATTCAAGACCTGCTGGAACGTGCCAAGATGTCCGACGCAAAGGCTATTTCCACTCCTTCCACAAGTGACATAGTTCAGAAGTTTGTTGTGGGATACTCTCCTATGTACTTTGATCCAGCAGCATATTGCAGCATAGTGAGAGGCTTACAATATCTCAGCTTCACACGCCCAGATATATCCTTTGCTGTCAATCATGTCTTGCAATATCAACATTCTCCAACTGATGATCATTGGGCTGCTGTCAAATGGATCCTTCGCTTTCTCAAAGGTACTCTCGATCGTGGGCTTGTCTTCTCCAAGTCACCCTCTCTTCATGTACATGGGTATTCCGATGCATCATGGGCCTCCTGTCCAAAGGATCGCAAGTCAATCACAGGATTTGTGGTATTTTGTGGCTCGAACCTGGTCTCTTGGTCTACACGCAAGCATAAATCTGACGCCCGTTCATCCACCGAATGCGAGTATCGCGCCCTTGCAACACTAGCCTCCGAAGTTCTCTGGTTGCGGTCGCTCCTTCATGAACTGGGTCAACAAATTCCCTCCGCTCCAGTCCTATGTTGTGACAATTTGGGCGCCACCTTCCTTGCGCACAATCTTGTTTTTCACAACAGGTCCAAGCATATGTAAATTGAAGTCCATTTTGTTTGTGACCAAGTTAGCAAAGGTGTTCTTCGTGTGCATTATCTTCCCGCATCCGATCAGCTAGTCGATGTGCTTACCAAGCCGCTCCCCCGTGTCCCTTCAGCAAATTCTGCTCCAAGTTTCACCTCACCGAGCCTCAACTTGTGGGGGTGTGATGATGGGGCATGCTCTTTAGTAGTGGACCGTTGTGCTCCACTCTTCTCTCCAACAACTTAGCTTTATGTTACTCTTTTTAGTTTTCTATTACTCTTTTTAGCTTTATGTTCCTTATCTTATGTTGTACGATCAGACTCATTGTACTATAAAACCATTGTTGAATAATAGAGAATGCAAGTCTTGTGTCTCTTCTGAACTACGGGCTCGACATCTTAGATGTTTCCCATCCAACTTGAAAACCCTTGGCGTGCTCGGTGAAATGCAACTGCAGATCACTTCAGCCCATCTCCTGCACACGCTTTGCCTTGAAAACGGACATAAGCTGATAGAAGTAGTGTCGTCGTCCGCTTCGGTTCCAAATCTCAAATATATAGAATTCGAAGACTGAGTTGTTAAATGTTTGGATTTTTCAATCAAGTCTCTTCCAAAGAAGTATGGCGGAATTACAGGACATGAGATCAATGTTGATAAATCTTCAGTTTTCTTCAGTAAGAACACCCCGGAAGCGCTCAAAAGCATTATCATAAATAAATTGGGATTTCCACCTTCTATTTGCCACGACAAGTACCTAGGTGTTCCTACAAGTTGGGGGCGTTCAAAGAAAGAAACTTTTCTGTTCTTACTGGAAAGAATGGAGAAGAAGGGGGAATCTTGGAAGAGTTTACTTTTATCACTGGGCGGAAAGGAAGTACTTCTGAAGGCAATGATTCAGGCAATCCCGACCTACCTGATGAGTGTCTTTCTCCTGCCTCGTTCCCTCACCAACAAGATGGATTCGGTATTGAAAAGATTTTTCTGGTCCGGATCGATGAGGAGAAATTCTTTACATTGGTGTCATGCCAAAGTCCTGGAGAAACCGAAGGAGGAAGGAGGACTCGGCTTCAAAAATTTAAACAGGTCTGGAGGTTGTTGCAAAACCCGGATGCAATTTGGGTGAGGCTGCTTAAAGGTCTTTATTTTTCCAATGGAGACTTCTTTTCGGCAGTTAAAGGAAGAAATGGATCATGGATCTGGAGCGGGCTCTGTGAAACCAAAGAGAGACTCAAGCTGGGCTTGCTCAAGAGTACTATGTCAGGTAATGATTCATTGTTTAACACTGACCCTTGGATACCTTCTGCCCCTGCTTTCTCCCTTGCCACCTTAGGTCTAAACCAGTCAAAGGTGAGCGAGTGGATTCATCAAGAGGAACGATTATGGAAGGTGGAGAGTTTGCGAGAGGTGGTTCCTGAAGGAGTTATCCAGGATATACTACGCATTCCGATTGGACCAGCTGAGGCACCTGATCAATGGGTTTAGGGGGTCGTTTGGATCAAGGATTGTAATATTGAGGGATTTGAGTTAAAATCTCTCGTTTAAAAAACCTAGGTTTTTAATATGAGGAATTTTAATAAATCACTTGTTTGTTTATAAGTTTGGGTTTTTAATGAGAAAATGCAAAATACAGTTTTGCCCTTCTTCCTTCATCTTCGTTCCCAAAAATTAGCGGCATCAAACCCAGAAAAGAAAACCAGACCATCATCTCCGATCGGTTGTCTGTCGTTGTCTCACCATGCACGCTAGATAGGGTATTCTGGAAGTTGCTCGTCATCTTCCTCCTCAAACTCTTTCCCGACGGCAAGGACATCTGAGTTCGATTTGAACTTCAAGCTTCAACCCATATCCGACCTCTGTGTTCGAAAGACTTTGATTCGACCTCTGGCTTTAATTCAACCCATAAACCCAGATCAAGACGATGGATTTAATGCCGCCAAGAGGAGGTCGTCGACATCCAGATTTAGAACCCAAATCTCGTCTTTCTTTAGGCTAACAGATCCGGCGAAATTGCGGAGGATGGGTTGAGAATCGCGCCGGGAAAGAGAACCCAGAAATCCGAGATGCCTTGCATCCGCTTGA